TGTTGTTGTTTAATTGCTGTCTCATGAGTGACAACCTACCAGACATTTGTGTTTTAGATTTGCCTGGCCTCTGCAATATAGAAATACAGACACTGAAAATGACCAATACAGACTGGAAGCTTCATGGAATTGAGATTCAGTCAAATGAGAAAATCAGTTCTGGTGAAATATTTATTGTACCTTGAGAAGATTAAATAAAGATGCCAACAACAATAGAGATAGCAAGTCTGGGAACAAACATCAGAGGACATAATCTAGAAGTTGTCAGAGAGGAGACAGGAAGATTTGAAGGTCTAACCAACATGTCAGCTTATCTGGAGGCTGCATCAGAGTAGACACTGGGGGCAGAGCAAGTGGTTTCAAATGTAGCATTTGAAACAGATATGCGTAGATAGAAACTGGTGCTGGTGGATTCAGGAAAGCATTGGACTTATATTCAGCAGACTATCTCCACAGGTAAACATGATATACTCTGCTGTCATGGTGTCATCAAAAAAAGAAGGGAGTTTTTCCTGGTGTCCTGGCCAACAAATCTTTTATTTAAATTGGTTATTCACCTTCTGGCTGCTTTTTGAGACAATGCTTGTACAAATTGACTGTCATGTTCACTTACAAATACAGTAACTGCATTAACACGAATTATTGTGAAACGCTTTTGAGACAATTCGATATGATATGGTGCTATATCAATTGCAAGGATTAGTATTACTATCTAATTCTCTAATACCCTCGAGAGTTTCTATGTCCATTGATTTTCTGCCTGCCTGCCTTTCTTTACCCAAAATAAGGGTAAAACAGGAAACATCTTCCTCTGCTCCGGCTTCTTTGCATTTGGCTCCAACTTCCTCACCCTTCCTGGCCTCTTTCTTATACTAACTGAACCAATCTTGCCTTTCAGTTCAACCCTCAGCTCTCTTACCTGCTTCATATTTGATTCCTGATCAAGACCGCTTTCTGTATTTTCGCCATTACCTGTCACTATCATAATAATAATAATCCTTGCATTTGACATAGCGCTTTTCACGTCGGGAGAAAATCCCAAAGCGCTTCACAGAATACACTGTAAAGTGAATCGACTGTATATTTGTGGGCGATCATGCATCCAATGTTGCCAAAGCCCTCATTCTCACTTTCGTCACCTCACCAGCCTCCCCAGGCTCCCCATCCATAAGCTCGTGCTCATCCAAAACCTCATACTTGCATGCTTGTCACCCTCAAATCTCTCCACTGCCTCACACCAATGCCTGGAACCATCTCTGTAAAGAGTTCTGAGATGTTACTCTAGGTGAAGCATAATAGAGGGTGACCAAAAAGTAATGATATCATTGCAATGTCTAATAATAATAATAATAATCCTTGCATTTGATATAGTGCTTTTCACATCTTCTAGATGTCTCAAAGCGCTTCACAGAATAGACTGTAAAGTGAATTTACTGTATATTTGTGGGCGAAATGCGTCAGCCAATTGCGCACAGCAGTGTCCCACAAACAGTCGTGGAGTGAAATGACCAATTTATTACTGTTTTTTTCTTGAAGGATTATTATCAGGCGTGTGTAGTAAGGAAACTTGCCAAAGGCTTCAACCTGCCGGGAATCAAACCCAGGTCTCTCGCTCGCAAAGCGAATTCTCTAACCCCTGAGCTACAGGACTCCGGTCTAAGTAAAGGTCTAATAAGTCTTAAAGAAATGATGAAGAAATAAAGAAATTATTATTAAAATAAATGATATCACAACTTTTTGGTCACCCTGTATATAAGTACCAGTTGTTGTTAGAAGTTATTATTATCATCATTAATCCATAAATAGCAGCTTCTATCTATACACAGTGTATGCCTGTGTATGTCAGGATCAGCCTCCTTCTTCAGCAGCAGCAATGTCCGAAATATCGTCAACTATATTTTGGACATTGCTGCTACTGAAAAAGGAGGCTAATCCTGGCTCTATGTTCCTCAGAATGGTAAGCATGCGAATACACAATCCGTACGCAACATCTTTCAAAAACAGAAGTCGCTGGGAACACTCAGCAGGTCAGGCAGCATCTATGGAGAAAGGAAAGTGAGTCAACGTTTCGGGTCCATGACCCTTTGTCAGAACTGGGGTATGTTGGTAGGGAGAAGCTTTTGAGGCCTAACAGAGTGGGGGGAGGCAGGGCAAGGAAGGCAAAGGAGAAAATGGGGTAGCGGACAGGGATGATAGGCTGGTCCGCCTATTTGTTGCAGTTTTCCCCCCCTTTGTTTTGCATTAATAACACCTCTTTAACCCATCATTAAAAGCCTCTCCCTCCCAACATGCCCCAGTTCTGACGAAGGATCATGGACCCGAAACATTGACTCACTTTCCTTTCTCCATAGATGCTGCCTGACCTGCTGAGTGTTCCCAGCGACTTCTGTTTTTGTTTCAGATTTCCAGCATCTGCAGTATTTTGTGTTTTGCAACATCTTTCAATCTCCCCCACCCAAAAAATCATGAAAAAGTTATTATTCACGTAACTTTCGTTCACAAAGCAGGTTCTGCCCTACATGTCTCCTCTGCACCAGTGTGAAGAACGGGAGACTCCAGCATCAAAATACCAGCAGCATCAGATAAGCCATATTTTGCACAGCCATAAAGGCAGCAAACTGTCCATCTACTTCTCTTTTTCTCCTCCATCAGCTTGCTGCTGGATCAACAGGCATGACTGCAGAAGAGAGAATGGAAAGACTTTAACTAATGCCATGTTTACATTGTTCTAACATTGGTCATTAATCCACAATTATGTGCATGTGTATTTGTTCTGGCCTAATATTTTAGAAAGAGGACAATGGTAAATCTATCTCTTCAACCTCATTTATGGTCACCTACACCTTCCCCGTTTCCCTTATCCCACTCTCGTGGAGCACTCTGAAACATTATTCTGTGTTAAAGGCACTGCATAAATGCAAGCTGTTGTAGTTATTGTTGACAATAAGACTACTGCTTAGGGTAAATACATACTTCCAATATCAAGTAAGCTTCCCATTACTGCTCAAGTTTAACCTCCAGTTACTGGTGGCGCAAATATTGCTCCTGGCTGTGCTTGACAAGAAAACACAATGTATTTCAGCAGTATGGTTTATGATCGTGTGAAAGTGATCTGAATTCAGTATGGCAATAACATTGTTAATTTTAGGGACACGTCACTCACCATTGACTCATTGTCAATTAGCTCACAATAAAGTTCAGCTTCGTTTTGAACTGATACAATTTAAAAGTAACATAAATAGTAAAACTCATGGAACCACCAGCCGAGAAGGCACTTTTCAAACGTAAACCACCTCCTCATCTCAGTCACTTTTATCTACCCACCCACATACTCAATACACAACCTAATGCCTACAGGCAGAAAAGAATTATGAATCAATCCAAAAATAAAACACTACCATTTTTCATTATTTTAAAATCTTATAAAACTCAAGTAGTGTTACTTTTTTTCTTAGGAGGCTTATTATTTTAAAACGTACTTCTGATGAGTCAGTGATTTTGTGACTCATTAAACTGGGCAAATTATTTATTTTGTGGTTTATATCAAAGAAAAGTAATAAATAGTGACCTGCTTGCATTTGATATAGCACCTTTCACATCAGGAGAACACCTCAAAATATTTTGTAGGATACACTGTAAAAAGTATGTATGTATCTGACAGTCAATTTTTGCACAGTAACATCTCACAAACAGCCTTGAAATGAATGACCAATTTTATCTGGGGAACCTTGATCAGGATACTGGGGAAACTTTCCTTTTGAGTAGTGCCATGAGATCTGTAACGTCCACCTAAACAGGTAAGTGAGAACTCAGTTTAACTGTTCATCTGAAGAATTGCCCCTCCAACAAAGCAGTTCTACCCAGCACAATATTGAAATAACAACCAAGACTGTGAGTTGGAAGTCCTGATGTGGGCCACAAACCCACAAGCTTCTGGCTCAAGAGGTTGTTTTTTGGGGTCATCCAGGTGTCTGACATGAGAGTGCTACCAACAGAGCCAGGTTGACACAGAGTTCAGGGAGCTGAAGTAATGATTTCAGACTTGGTACTTCGCAAGTTTGAATTGGAATGGTAAATTGGCATTGAATATCTGTAGACTAATATACGTATTGATGTTGTTTAGGCTAAGCTATTGATTTAATCTGATGAAGAACTGTAAAAATATTACTGTTGATTTGTTACATTTTATTGCAAAAACAGATATAGAAAAATACTGCAACTGTAATCCTGAAATAATATTTTTTAAAAAATAAGTGGAGCCATATACCTTAAAGTACAATACAAACAATACATCCCTATAGCTTCCCGTCAGAATGACATCCCAAGATAAATTGTAACAAAATTCTGTGACTGAACATGCTATTTAAGTGTCTGCATGACTCAGGTAGCGCTTGCTTCTGCTCCTACCTCACTCTTAAAGCAATTAAAATCCTTATTTGTGACTTGGTCATCCCCAGATTTCATTTCTCCAGTGCTCTCCTCACTAACCTTTCCAGTTCTATCCTACACAAGTTCTCAGGTCATCTAAAATTTTGTAGCGGCAGGCTCCTCAAACTCTTCACTCTGATCCTCATTAGGCTCCAAGGACTTATTTTGCACATCTCCTGTCATTCCCCAGCTCTACCAATAGTCAGCGCATGACTTGCCAGGATAGCTAAAAGTGCCCAGGTACTTGTGTTGTGGGAGGTGTAAGGATTATACCACAGCTCGGTGTATACTTGGTAATTATGATAATTGTACACTTTTATGATGCTAAAACTACAGTAGATTTTACAGGCAATTTTATGACAGTAACGGTTCTTGAAGCCTCCTGACTATTTATCTAGAGCAGTCTTCCTCAATGATCAGTCTCCAGTAACGTCTTGTCTGTATCAGAAATCAAATGATATACTGAAGTATTGAGGGCCTTGCTGTATGGCTGTGCTCTTCTCCCCTTTGGTATAGCACTGAGTACGGACAAAGGGCACTCTGGTCATTCTGGTCAAGGACAGCAATGTCCGATGCAGGTTAAGCTTGTGGTGTACAAGATGAATATCCAGACAAATCTCCTTTATGATTTTCAAGCTTTTGGGCATGGAGTAGAGGGGTTTCCTTTGGCTCGTTTGCAAAATCTAGGACCAAGCAGTGAGGTGAATTTATGGTAAAAAGAGTAAGTGAAAGCAGGGAGGTGGACTCCAGCCTATGCTGACCTCACATGAGGATCTGCAATCAGTACTGAATAAGCCTGGTACGCGATACTGACCCTCTAGAAGAGGGTGGTCCAACTTGTGGCCCATGGACCTCATCCGGCACAGGGGATGATTTAATCTGGCCCACGAACCATTCCCAACTTAATTATCCAACTGGCAAATACAAACGACATGCAGGTCCCATCGGGAGACCGTCACTGCGGACTCAGGCTTTGCCTGGCAACAGTACTGACCCATCAAGAGACAGTCACGATAAAATATTGCTTTTGCGGCACCCGGATGTTTTTCAAATCCAGCTTTCAGTAGCAAAAAGTTTGGCCACCTTCCTGTAGAACATCAAGGCTGGCTCTCCAATGTAATGCTGTGGGTGCAATGCATTGTAAGAGATGCTTTCCTTCAGATGAGACATTAAGTTAAGGTCCTGGTTGCCTGTTCAAGTGGATGTTAAACTTTTTTTTTGGTCAGCCGGGTGTCTGACACATGCGGAAACCCATAACCATGCTTAAAGAGTATCCAAACCAAGCTGAGAATTACATGCATCGCATCTATACATGGAAATTCCAGAGATGTTTATTGAAATGGAATGCACACTCTCTCCTTGGAGCGACACATCCTGCTTACTTAGTTCCAGAAAGTATTAGGTGCAGGTTGGCAAGAGTCAAGGCTTGAGGATCCCAGAGTGTGCGTCGGGTTTCCGTGCTGCCCACAGCACAGAAACAGCCCTGGTCAAAGTCACTAACAACATCCTGAACATCTACAACCAGGGCTCTCTCTTCCTCCTTGTCCTCATCGACCTCACTGCTGCCTTCGACACTGTTGACCATTGCATCCTTCTACACGGCCTCTCCTCTCAGCTCAATCTTCGTGGATTTGCCCCTGCCTGGTTCGAATCCTACCTCTCCCCCATCTCCACTTTGCCACCAGTAACAGCTTTTCCTCCAGCTCCCACACTGTCCCGTTGGTGTCCCTCATGGCTCTGTCCTTGGCCCTCTCCTTTTCAATATCTACATGTTACAGCTTCGTGACATCATCCGCAGGCATTGCGTCAACTTTCACATGTGTGCGGATGACACCCAATCTTTCTGCCTCCACCCTCAACTCCAGGACCACTGCTGTCCTGACAGACTGCCTGTCGGACATCAAGTCCTGGATGAGAGCCAACTTCTTGCAATTGAATGTCAACAAGACTGAGGGCCTCCTCCTGGCTCCCATCAGCGCCTCCATACCTCGGGCGCTGACAGCATCTCCCTCCATGAATGCACTCTACATCTCATGGAACCAACACTGAATCTTGGTGTCCTGTTCGACCCTCAACTGGCCTTCATACCCCACATCCGTGCCCTGACGTGCTTCCACTTTCCCCACCTCCGCAACATCGCCCGGCTCCACCACTGTCTCATACCGCAGGCCGCCGAGACTCTCATGCATGCATTCATAACATCCAGGTTCGACTACACAAACTCCCTGCTTTTAGGCCTCCCCAACTGCTCCCTCCATAGGCTGCAGATCATCCAGAACTCTGCAGCTAGCACCAGGCTCCGTGAACCTATCACCCCCACCCTCATCCAACTCCACTGGCTTCCCATCACACAGAGGATACAGTTCAAGATCATGGTCCTCACCGTCAAAGACCTCCATGGCCTTGCTTCCCCCTACCTCTGGACCTCCTAATCCCCTATCAACCTGCCCGCTGCCTCCATTTAGCGGGCTCCGGCCTGCTTATTGTCCCCTGTGTCATTGGCAGGCCGGGCCTAGTCTGTCCCCACCCTCTGGAACTCCATCCAGCAGTTCCTCCACCTCTCCTGCTCCCTTGTCTCCTTCAAGACCCATCTCAAGACCCTCCTCTTTGACCTTGCCTTCGGTCACCCTCCTTGCCCCCTGCCCTCCACCCTCCCTGATCCCGATCCCCAGCTCGGGTCCGAAACACTGATTATCCAGCACCTTGGGACGTCTTCCCGACCTGAGAGGGGCTATACAAATGTAATTTTGTTGTTGTCATTGTTAGGGTACTGCTATAGTTTAACCAGTTAAAACTGAAAGGCTTGCCACTGAGAGCACTGCCTGGCAAGCTTTCCCATTGCTTGTCTAGCTAGGAACACCCTATTCGTTAGTGCTTTGCAGGTTTTACAGGAACTGAGTGGGATGACTCCCTGCTCCCAGTGTCTAGTCTGTCCTTCCAAGTCCTGCAGGTGAGCCAGGCTGGCTGCGCTGTCATCAGCAGTGCCCTGGAATACTGCAGACCTGCCTGGTTCAAGAATTGGACAACTAAGACTGCCAAAGAGGGCTGGCTGGATTCTGACATCCGTTGCCAAACATGGCACCTTGGAGTCAGTCCAGCTCCAAGAAACCCTACTAACTTCCCCACCCACTTCCCCCCAGCATGCTCGTAACTAAACATTTAACATTGCATGGCAGGACTTAAAAAGAGAATGGGATTTCCCTTGGTGTCTTGGCCTTTAATCCTCAGTTAAAGTTGATCATTCACTTCTTGGCTGCGTGCAAATGTCAGCAGTACCTGAACGCACACTCTGGAGTTCATAAGCCTCGTCTCTTGTCAACCTGTGTCCAATACTGTCTAGAATTAGGTAAGCAAGGTACATCCCTCCATGGAGCGTGTGCATTCCATTCAAGATACAGGGAAATTCTTGACATATAAATGTGGAACTCTGTTTGGTTTGGATATGCTTAAACATGGTGATGGGTTTCCTCACATATCAGACATGAATAAAAACAGAGATCTCTTTCGGCTGAATATCCTGGCAGACTCATTTACTGATGTTATGCCACTTTGTAAGAAGAGACTGAGCAGCCCTGGCATCAAAAAGATTGAGAAACACTGAACTAGAAAAATGAAGGTGGGGCACAACCAGACTGTACGAATATTTGACCTTTTGGCTACATCTGCTCCAGCACTTACCTGCCAATACAGGGTAGAATGTTTAGAGGTTTGAGCTGTGTTGAATGCAGAAATTTGAACTGGATCTCTCTCCTTCAGCTGCGCAGAGAATTGAGAAGCTTGAGCTTATATCACTATAGGTCTGAACTTTAATAGGTGAGATGCTAGAGGCTTTCAGGGTCACGAGGGTAAATAACAATAGACTATTTTCACTCCTCGACTAAGAAAAAAGGCACACATTTAAGATGATTGCAAAAGGAATTAAAGGGGAAGTTAGAACATATTTCACAGAGGGTGGTTAGAATGTAGAAATTCCTGTTACAAACCATTATTGAAGCAGAATCCATGCATTATTTTGGAAGGGAATTAAAAAATATCTGAAAAAAAGAATTAAGGGGCAATAAGTAGAAGAGTTGGGTTAGTAGTGTTAGACTAGAAGATTCATGTGACATGGAATTGGAAAAGTCAAATATAATTTACATTTATAATAATAATCCTTGGATTTGATATAGTACGTTTCACCTCGACAAGTCTAAAAGTGCTTCACAGGATTTATTGTAAAGTGTTTTTTGACTGCATATTTTGTGAGCAAAAAAAGGCGGCCAGTTATACACAGTAAAAGTCCCACAAATTTCTAATAATAATACTTGCATTTGATATAGCACATTTTTGCAGCTTTGAGACGTCTCAAAGCACTTCACAGTATATATTGTAAAATGAATTGACTGCAGGCGAACCGTGGCAGCGAATTGCACACAGCAGTGTCCCACAGTGGTGCATTGAAGTGACCAATTGTTCTCATTGTTTTGAAGGAATTATTACCCCCGGAAAAGCAATCTTCCAATCAACTAACAACTGGATTCCTACTTACTCCTAGGTAAACAGAGGTGTGTGGAGTAAGGAATTCAATCCTGCCGGGAATTGAACCCAGGTCTCTCGCTTGCGAGGCAAGTGCTCTAAGCGCTGAGCTTTTATCAATTTGTATAGCACCTTTCATGTCATAAGGATGTCTCAAAAAGCTTCATGGTGTTCAATGGACATCTAAATTGAGTGGGGCCAATGGGGTGGGAAGAAGAAAGATGACCAAAAGCGCAGTCAAAATACAAAATAGCCTGCTTCTGCGCTCTAAATTTCTGTAATTCGATGGTAAGGCAGCTTCCATGCCTTTTCCCTGTTGGTTGATGGATGAGGTCTGGTTTGTAAGTGCTGTGTAGTGCAGGATCTACAGTGCAGTAGATGAGGTGGTGTCGTACAACATGTCACAAAGTTGATGGAAGAACTTGCTCTGACCTTGTGGAGCAGTGTGTTATCTCTTTAATACCCTTCTTATGCCACATTTTGAAATTGCAGCAAGCAATTCCGAGAGGTCACTGCTGCACTCATTAGGGAGAATCCAGGAGTAACTTCGATATACTGTAAAACTGTATAAATAGTCGAACTCCAGGCTGTCAGGGTCAGCAATAGTGGAGTTTAGTTAAGCGCCCAGAGACACTGTCCTGGGTGACGGGCGCTTATATAAATACAAGCTATCGTCGTCGTTGTTTATTTTACTTTGTTTACGCGTTTCGCCCACAAAACACGCCATCAAAGCGCTTCACACTGCATCCTGCGAAGCGCTTTGGGACGTCTGAACGCCGTGATAAGGCGCTGCATCAAACGCAAGGATTATTATTATTATTATTATTATCATGATCATGATCATTATTATGGAGGGAGCGTTCTTTCTAATGGTTTTGCATCCGTTCTCCAACCGTATCATGTACACCACTTTTTTTTCCCCACTCCAATCACCGAGGGGACGCCCACCATATAAACACGTGCCTTTTGCAAACCACATCCTTTTTGTTTGAGTGACTCTCTGCTGAGGACTGAGAGGGGGGAAGGTCCGGGGGGTGGAGGGAGGGACCTGGTTATCAGGAGCATTACGGTAGGTTCGGAACCAGAGGCACTTCGGCAAAGTATTAACGTGGGTTTTGCTCAGGACTGTAACTTGTGTGTGTGTGTGTGTGTGTGAGAGAGAGAGGGAGAGGAGGAGTGGGAGAAGCTCTGGTGGTTTGAGCGTTGCAGTGTTTGCAAGTGCTTCAGCCTTAACAGACGGGGGATAATAACCGGGAGCACCGGGACCTCTCCCTGCGCTGCAAACACAAGTTTTGCAATCAACACAATAATTCGTCATTAATAATAATAATAATAAGAATAATACGGAGAATCCGGACCACAGAAGCAACTTTTTTTTTTCTCCTGATTTGAAAAAGCAAAAAACCCGCCGACGCCGCCGCCGCCGCCGCACCGCTGTGTGGACACCTCCGCAGAGCCGCGATCGAAAGCGTGAGACCCGGAAGCAGACGCGGGGCTGAGCGGAGCGGCCGGAGGGCGCGGGGGGTCCGGGGCCGGGGCCGGGGGCCGGGGGCCGGGGCCGCGCCGATGGGATTGGAGTCGGGGATGGAAGATGAGAGCGAGAGAGATGGAGACCCGCTCACCTCCTCCTCCTCTTCCTCCTCCTCCTCCTCCAGCGGCGGCGGCGGTGAGGAGGAGCCGGAGCTGAGCCGCCCGGACCGTGAGGCCAACCCGAGTGAGGACAGTGAGGAGCCTTCAACCCGCCCCGACCGCGGCCCTCCCGGCCCCGGTCCCCCCGGCCCCGGCCCTCCCGGCCCCGGCCCTCCCGTGGGGACCCGGCGGTGCTCGCACCCCCTGGAGCCGGCGCCGCCCCGGGACCAGCAGCACGTCTACTGCACCGTGTACTGTGTGGAGAACGAGAACTACCGGAGCTCGACGGCGGCGGCGGAGGAGGAGCAGCGGGAGGAGGGGGAGGGAGGACCGGGCGGTGGGGGTGGGGGTGTGGGTGGCCCCCCGCCCGCTGGGGGTGGGGGTCGGGACAGCCCGACTCCCGTGGACACGAACTCGGATCCCGTGAGCGGAGAACCGTTCAGCGTCTCCCGACTGATCGACGTGAACCCGTACGCGCGAGAGCACAAGCACTTTATTCTCCTGACCTGCAGAGTCTGTCTGGACGACAAACACATCCGCCCTCTCCCGTGTTGTCACAGGGCCGTGTGCGAGGACTGTCTGAAGCGGTATCTCAGCAATCAG